TTGTTCGTCATCTATATACGATTAGTTTGGATCTTTTCATGAGATTATATTGTTTCAATTGCTCTTTAAATTGTTTAATTTTACTTTGTGGAGAATTTTGGAAACTTTGTGGAATGTATTTCCGACAAAACGCAAATAAATTTAAAATAGCAGTATTAAAAAAATACAACAAAAATCTTTTCATTAAACTTATGAACCAGTAGTAATAAATTTTAATATATACTGAAAGTAATAGAGTGTAAATATTTTATCGAGACTCTGTGGGAAATTTGTTTAGTTAGAACTACATCATAAAAATATTTACTATTATCTATCTTGAATTTAACGCCTACCTATTTAAAGCAAAAATATTAAAATTCTTATTATTTAACAAACATTCTAGACTGAGTTTCTAAAATCCCAAATGAAATGTAACAATAAAATCAACATTATTAACATGATTTATTTTTAATGTGAAAGTAATTGTTTAGAACAATAAGTTTAAATTATTGATATAAGTAAATATTCTTTAATTCATTTAGCACATTAAATTCATTCTCATTTACTTTTCCTAATTTAGCATTAATTTTTCATTGTTAGAAATTCTCGTATCTTGGCGAATACATTCCTTCGGAGAATAATTTCTGTAGCGTTCCTAAATTAAAGCATTATATTTAATTTAAAAAGTTTTGCTCAATTTGATGTTAGTATTTACGTTCAGCGATATCTGCTTAATAATGTCACTCGAGAATAGAATGTAAAGTCAGTCAACTGTATTATTTATATTCATTAATTTAAATTGCTTGGAATTTATTTTAGGTTTATAACATTGAGTATATTACACTTTAAATTGAATATATTAAGGTTGAGTTTTTTTGCTTTACAATTTCAACCTTATTTGATTAATTATGCCTTTTGAACATTGATATAAAAATCATACCAGATTGAGCATTTAAATTCAGTAGAATTTTTATCTGTTTTCTAAAATGAATAAATTCAGATCCATAATTATATTAAGATAACATTTGTTAAATAAGCACTTTATCTTTTAATTTTAAAATAATATTCTTACTGACTAGCTTTGTTTCGGGTTTATTTCACTGATTTTGGTAAAAAGAAATTTTAAAAAACCTGACTGATAATGCTGCAAAGTTGCATTTTGTAAACAAAATAACAATGGAATTAATATCTGAAATATTTATTATAAGCAGATTTTACTTCATGAAACCTGTTTGCAAGCACTATGATTATTTGAATAAATATCTGAATAAATTTCTGGTAAGGAATATCTAAAATATTTGATATCAAAAACTTTGAAGCGAAATCTTTTTTTTATTATTTATAAATAGATTTTACTTTATAAAACTGGTTAAAAAGTACTAAAAAAAAGACGAAAAATGTTATTTAGAAAAATTCGTAGCCTTAGGAGCAAAACTAATTTCAAACTTGAAATTCCCCATACTCAAAATAAACAACAAGTATTTGTGAAAAAAAAAAAAATTCTGTCAGAAATGTCATGCCTCCGTAAAATATGGAAACACTTGATCTAAAAACAAAATTTAAATTCTAAAACAAAATTTTAAAAAAAAGCTTTAATATTCAAAATTATTCTAGACATGAGCTAATAATCCCTTCAAAAGTTTATTTGCAACATTAAATTCTTTTACACAAACAGAGCACCTTTGAATCTCATCATATTTAAAGTATTATACAATGCATCATAGTAATTAACAAATATAGTCCACAAATATAGTTTCAAATTTACCATTTATAAAAATAAAAATTTAAAAAAACTATCTATTCCTACTTTTATCTAATCTTAAAATTTTCGCCAAAAAAAGTCAACTTTTACGTGTTTGAAGTTCGAAACTATAGGAAAAGGCGTATTAATTCACTCAAAGCTTGTGTGTGTGTGTGGAAGGAAAAGCGTGAAGAGGAAGATGACGCCAAGAGATCAAGCATGATGAATGGGTATCATCACTTCTCTCCACAGCATCCAGTATCTGTGGCATCCCATTCGTGAGACACCAGCCTAATCCCCGAAACACGTGTTTATAAATATGGAGATGGTTCTCGCCAAATCCTCTCGCCGGAATCCCCTCCGAAGAATGAAGTAGTTTTATTTTCTTTTAGTGACTTTCTGAGACTGTGGAGAAATCGAATGGGAGATTGTTGTTTTGGAAATAGACGTCATTTATTTTTCTGTCGAGTTTTGAATGGTGGATTTTTGCCTTGTTTCAATAAAAATGGAATGAAAGTTGCTTTTATGGTTGGCGTGATGCAGTCGAAATATGTTTAATGTAGAAAATGCTTTTTGAATTGTCATAGTGTGAGATGCGTTTTCGTGCCATTTTGTTTTTCAATTTGCAGGTACTCATTTCATGTTCATGTAGTTACATGAAAAAAACGTTATTTTTATGACTTCAGTCATTATTTGAGGTATATGTTAGGCGACTATTTTCCACATCAATGGCTGGCCTATTTTCCCTGCGATATAAGGTTTCTTTTTAGCGAGACATGAAACAAAAATAGTTCCGTGTAATGGAGATCAAACTATTTCTTTTCTTCAGATATACTCAAAAAGATAATTATCGTCTCACCATTTTCGTACATTTTGATCGAACAGAAAAATCCATAATTCATTAATATGTGAAGAAGATGCCATTCCATGAAATTATTCTAGAATTAGTAAATTATTTCATGTAATGGAGACCAAACTAGTTTTCTTCGTATATGATTTTAAAAAAAAAACATTTCCTTGAACAATTTTCCAGTTTTTATAAATTGCATGAAATTATTTAATTATTATTATAAATTGCATGAAGTTATTTAATAATAAAATTAATAATAATTGAGATACATGAAGAAAATAGTTAAATGAGAATGACTTTCGAATTAGGAAAAAGTCTGAATTATTCAATGATTAATCAATAAAAAAATACGATTAGAGAAAGGTCAAGAAACTTTATTTTAAAAAAGTAATTCATGAAAATCCTTCCTTATAATTAATTGTATATTTATTTTGTTTTCATGCTGTTTAATTAAATCTTTAAATAATAATAACTTCATTCAGTTGAAGTTTTTAACTAAAATAAATTTCACAAATATTTAATTTAATTTAAAGTTTCCTTTTAAGAATATTTTTATAATATTTTTCAAATCTCTTAGTTTAAAATACTACACAATATACATGAATGTTTAAACCGAAAAACTTAGCCAAAAGGCTACTTAACTTCTTCTTCCACTAACTAAACTCTTAAACAGTTTTTTTTTTTAAATATTTGTAAAAATCCTAATGTAGTAAAATTAAATAACAAAATCTCTGAAGTTCTTACCATGAAATCTACAAATGTCTGCCTATTTTCTAAAGAAATACATCCCCTTAACTAATAACTTTTTTACTAAGCACTAAAAGACCGCTAAAAAAAACAATATTTTTAGGTGGATTTTTCCTCATATATTTCATACATAAAAGAAAGAAAAATTTTAACTTGGAAGCTTAACGGAATGAGTATAAAAAAAAATCCTTCAATGATCTGAAACTGTCTTTTCTGCAAAACACTATAAGCTCTTCTGGCTATCAGCCAGCCAGATGATTTATCTTCTATCGCATGAAGAAAAAATCCAGGCGTTAAAAAAAATGAACATTAGGATAACATTTTGCCTTTTTATCGATTTTTTATCTTAATTTACGTGCGTGAATGAACTATCATGCGTATGTTTTCAATCAATAAACCTTTTAAATTTGTTAATGACAAAATACTTTGTAGTCAGTTTTTCAAGCATTAAGATATAAAAATGGTATTTTACAGCCGTTTTTTTTTTTTTTTCCNTTTCTTTTTTTTTTCAAAGGAAGATCCCTTGTTTCAGAGAAGCAAGAGTTCTATACGATTTCAAGAAATTTAATCTTAATGCATTAATTGCTGCACAATTAATTGCATGTACAAATTAATGCATTAGTTTGTACAGTTAATTAAACACTTAATGCTTAGGAACTACAATTATTATTAACTGTGCATAGACTTTTCAATGGTCTACTCGATGTTGTACAAGATTTAACTTAGTCTACTCACAGTTACAACTCGTAATTATATGGAAGGCTTAAAAAGTATTTAAAATGGATAATTGTTTAATGCTATTAAATAACATCAACAACTGACATTAACACTTTCTTTATCTTCTTCTTGGCTTCATAGTTTTGTGTAAATCTTAGCCAAAATTGCTTTTTTGAAAGAATTAATCAAATGCTCCATTTAAAACGTAGTATTATTTAACCAGTGTAAGTGGAATTTTATTTTTAATATGCACTGCATTTTGCTTGTTGACTTGGATTTCAAGAAATTCCATGTTCTAAAGAATGCTATGACTTAATGACTTTTCTGATAGTAATTTTAATTCTTTCCATTCTCGTATGACATTTTTCTTATCTAACTCTACAGTCTTTATTTGATCAGTCTGTATATTCCCCTTTATTTAAATCAATTTTTCAACATTGACGCTGATGCTTGTCATAGTACCGAAACGGCTGTCTGACTTTTTAAACCTTTTTATTTAGGCTTCATGCATTTGTTTTTTACTTCACTGTGATATAAAGTATCCCCATTTGTAGCAAATCACTATTGAGTTCTGAGGTCTTATGAAATGACCACTATGCCCATGTAAGGCTTAAATAAGATGAGACCTTAACAACTCTTAATTTATTGGTCATGAATAGTTTAGTGGCGAAACATGCATAATGGCATTTTGAATAGAGTAGCAATGAATAAAATGACAACTGTAAATATAAAACATTAAAACATTAACAATTTATTCTACCATTAATAAAATATGTTTCATTAATAGCTTACTGGCTCAGTGCTTCACATGAGAACTTACTCATGCTAAAGCGCATTTTTTTAAAATTCACTGAAACGTCACTAAGTATATTCCTCCCTAAACTCTCCCACTGGAGAAATGACATCCATGCACTTTTTTACTTAATTGCAATTTAAATAATTAAGCCTTTTTTCTATTTGTTATAGAATTTGGAAGCGATCATCGGAAATGGCGTAACCAGCAGTCACTCTGAGATGCTATCCACATGTGCCGAGCCAGTGGACAACATCCGATCCCTGCTGGAACCAAACGGCAACGTACTCCCTCCTTCCGCCTCATTCATCCGACCACTTCCCAGAACAAGTTCCAGCCATAGTCACCTTGACAAGTACCTCAAAAAGTTCGGCAAGTCAGGTAAAACACGACACTTTTTTGATAAATTGATAAACTATATCACTTTTGTTTTCACTCTTTTGCTAAGTCTTAGCTTTATTTAGTAGGTGGCTTAAGATCTCCAGTCAAACGTCAATGGTCTGCAGGGGAATCGAACCTAAGTCGAGAGTTCTCGAAGACCAGTGACTTGGATGTCCGTCCTCAACTTCCACCTAGGCCAAAATCCGAATTTTTCAATGTTGGTGACAAAAATAAGTACTTCAAAAGCAACACATACGAGGTAAGATATTTTTTAATAAATGATACTACTTATTCATTGTCTATCTAAGTATTAATATGCATTTAGAATGGGTTGAATACTTTAACCAAATAAAATTAAACATTTTGTGAAAACACCACTTATTTCATTTCGAGATAGTTAAATATTTTAATTTAATCCTTTTCCTGTTCGTGATAAATAAGCGGAGCGAACATTTAAAATTTATAGGCTATTAAAATATTATTAATTAAACTAATAATGTTAGTAAATAGATAATCCCAAGAAACAGAAGTGGTCAGATATTATTTGGTTAAAAACTTCGTTCACATCAAAAAAATATACAAATAGAAATTAACAGTCGACGTATTACAATCACTTGAAAATTGGCCCCCATTTTCAAAACTTGCCAGATGTGAATGAATGCATTTCTAATTTTGTTTCTTTACGTTTTGTTTCTTTACGTTTTGTTTCTTTACGTTTTGTTTCAAATCACTTTTGTTTTCGTTTCATTCAAGTCTGGCAAAATTTTAAAATGGATGCCTATTTTTGAAGTGAATGAAGTTTTTGATCAAGTATTAATGCTATTATTAAAAAATAATTAAATACAAAATAAGGAAAATTTTCAAAAGGTATAGTTCAAAGGTTTCTTTATGCGCCGTAAGGATAAATGCATTAGTATCGAAGTACTGTGCTTTTTTGGTAAATAAATACTACGCTTTATTGAAAATAAATAATAATGTTACTAAACGAGTAAGTAGGGTATTCTAATGAAAAAAAACATAAAATGTCACTATCATCAATTTTAATATCACCAATTTTTTAATAATTGATCTCCCTCATAATATAATTTGTAGAGCAAAATCATGCAAGCTACATCGTCAAGACTTTGGAAAATATATAGCATTTAATGGAAAACAGTTTTCAGTACTTTTCCTGCAAATAACTTTTTTTTCAATTAACTCTTAATCTTCTAAATTTCATATTCGATTTTTCCTTCACAGCTATCACGAATATCTCGCCATATCTCACCAACTTAAAACCAACTTCCATCCCGAATTCTGTTCCTAAACCTTTCTCCAGATTTAAGTGCCAAAATCGTCAGTACTGAATCAAAAGGAAGTGTTTAATCTTCTACAATATACCTGAGCACGTGTTGTTTTTCCAGAGAACAAAATAATATTAAAAATTTACGAACTTTCTTTTTCCCTGGGGATGTGTTCCTTTTCCAATCAACCCAAAGATCATCGATCTTGCTCTCCCTGCTATAGAACAAGTCGGTAGAGATGCTGAAGAAAACGAAAATTAATGACGTTTGCGTCTGACGTACCGACAACAACAGGTGCTCTTGGGAGACAAACGTATGGGGAATATGTCATCGAGTGAAAGTACTATAGAACATGAAAACATTTTTTCGCGCTTCCATAGTATCACCTAAGATAGATTAATTGGATGGTATGATGTAATACGATCATCTAGAAGACAGATCGTACTTAATGGTGAGAATATGCCCACATGTGGGTAGCTAAATTTGATGCTAGATAAGGAAGTTATTCACTTTTTTAAGAGAAAATAAGATTACATTTTTAAAAAAGGTACTGACACGAATTAAACAAAAAAAGGAAATTACAGAGCTTGATAGTTAAAAAAAACCTGCCTCCTATATTCTTAATCTATTAAAATAGGACTCAAAATTTTTGTGATTTCTGGTTATTATTGAAAGTAAATAAAAATCAAATGATTGGTTTAAAAAGGTTTATAAAAAAACGTTCCAAAATTTAAATAGTAATACTTATTCTTGACAATTGAAAATCATCAAAATTATGATAAATTACGCCTTTTGGTGTTTGAGCAGCATTTATATATCATATTAACACCACTTTTGCAAATGTTCAATTGTCATGATGTGCATCACCACCACACCTATGCTCCATTTAGAAAATTTATCGGCATTTAAAGCTGTTGTGGCCATGTGATAATGCACAAATATACACCGAAGAACCATTACATTATGACCCCCTTCCATCTATAACAATGGGCTCGCCCAGGTTTTCATGGTTTCTCGCCCAGGAACAACGTTTTCATAGGGCACATTAGGACCCGTTATCCTCATAGAACAATCCCTGACGTCTGTAAGCTACTTGAACATAGTTGCAGACCAGGTTCACCCATTCATGGCAACAGTTTTTCCTGCGAGGAATGCTGTTTACTAACAGGATAATGCACCATATCATAAGGGTCGAATCGTCATGGATTGGTTCGAGGAACATTCCAGTGACTTACAAGTCATGTCTTGGCAACCAAATTCACCTGACTTTAATCCAATACAGCATTTGTGGTCCTACTTGGAAAACCGCGCTACCCCCTCGCAATGTGAGGGAATTACAGGACCAGTTGGTGAGCGCTTGGTACCAGGCACCTCAGACTACCTATCAGCACCTTGTGAAATCAATGCCACGGCGGTGATAGCAGTTTTGAGGGCTAAAGGTAGTCCTACATGCTATTAGCAGAGTGGTCATGATGTGATGGCTCTTCGGTGTATATACTGACAAATTTGGAAGACTTGTTTATACAACTAAAAGTCAAATCAATGTCAAATTTCGCGTTTGGAGCTTAAGTTTCACGCTAGTAGCGTCACTGTGAACATGCAAATCAGGGTTGCTTTAAGTACGTGTTCTACAGTTCGTAAGCATTATGTTTCGTTAAATTTCGACATAGGGAGTTACTGATAGTCAAGAATGCCTTTAAGAAAACGAAGAAGCCATTACCAACAGCTCACTGACTTTGAAAGTGGTCTTGTAGTAGGGTTGCGAAAAGGCGGATTTTTCTCTCCGCGATATTGCAGAAAGACAGAGGAGAAATGTTTCCGCTACCAGGGCATTTATTTGACACAATGTATGCCCATTTGCATGCTCGCATTCAAAATTCTGGTGGTTACACTGGTTATTAATGTATCAATATTTCACATTTTAAATGGTTTTACTCTGAATTGCATTAACACCTGTGATCTTATATATATATATAT